GCTCGTCGCAGGTGTCCTTCGGCACCGGTCCGCAGCCGCCGCTGCCGCCGCCGCCGCCGCAGCAGCAGCAGCAGCGGTCGAACCAAACCTCAACTGAAGGCAGCCCGCGCGCGATGAATGTGGGCGTCTCGTATGCGACAGTGAACAACACTAGCGGCGCAGATGTCCCCAAGGTATCTTCTTCCGCCGGGCACCAGCCGAAACACAACCGCCAGCAGGTGCTGGAGATCCGCAAGGCGCGCATGGCTTTCTTCAAGTCCTACGAAACAGAGCGACCGGAGGATATACCGAATCTGATGGAGTGCAGCCACTTCGGTGCGACGGCCGTGGCTCTCTCGTGCCTGCTGGGCGGCGAGAAGGGCTGCAGCGACCGAAAGAAGCGCGTCACAGTTGAGGACATATTCTTTGCGGCGCACGTGCCGCTGCATTACCTCCACGGCGGCGTGCAGTCGCTGCCGGTGATGACGGACATCATTCGTGAGTTCATCGATGTCGACAACCGCTTCAAGAACGAGTACGGCCTCTCGGTAATGCACTTTGATATCTCGCCAACGCTCGGCCAGGTGGAGCTTGGCGGCAACGACGTTGGCGACCGCCAGACGCGCATGCAGCTGCCGGAGTTCAGCAAACTTATTACCCACGACTGCGAGGAGGAGACTCAGGCAATCCGCATCGTCAACTACGACCCGTACGTGCTGGAGCAAGAGACCTTCGTGGATGCCTTCGACGACGAGGAGGACGTGAACTGCGCTCTGACGGCGTCGGTGCTCGTGAGCCCGCGACACCGTGCCCTCCACTACAATAAAAACAATAATGGTGCCTACGCCGTCATTGTGGACGTGCGCAACGTTGTGCAGCTGATGGTGACGCTTGCGGAGGGCGTTGTAGGCGACACGTTGCATGTGAAGCTGATGGAAGTTCCGGCAGCGGCGCTCTTTAAGGCGATGACGGTCGCAAGGGAGGGCGAACGTGCACGTGGCTTCGTTCGTATATTCCGCAAGGACAGTGTACCAGTGATGATTCAGGACGAGGTGCAGTCCATGTTCACGCCGGAGATGCAAAGCGGGAAGGTGCTCGGCTCAACGCTGCAGGGCACGCACGCCTCCGTCATCTCCACCCACATCAGCCCGCACATTGTTGCTGTTGCGTGGGCGATGCACCTGCTGGGCGGCGTGCGGCCCAACTCGCACGGCTACGGCAATGGGCTGCCGGTGTCGGACATCATCCGCAAGATGCGGTTCCCCGCGGAGGTGTTCATCGACGGCAGCCTGCCGCTGGAGGAGGTGTTCAAGTACGCGCGCGAGTATATTTGCATGACCAACCGCAACTACAACATCGCCGTGTACCCGGTGTTGACGAAGATCTCACGTGAGGATGCGGTGCCAACCATCTCTGTTTTCGATCTGGAGTCCATCATCATCGACGTCAAGAACGCCAACGAGGACCCGGAGGTGCCGGAGCATATTATGGTCATCATGTATAACGCCAACGTGGCGCATAACGTGCTGAACATCTCCAGCTACCCGCAGTGGTGCGTGCTCGCCGGCTACGACCAGGAGACACAGATGGTGATGCTGCTCGACGCCCACCCCAAGACATTCCTCCACACCTGGACGTGCCCCCTCGACCGCCTCCACAAGGCTATGACGTCAAATGGCTACATCATATTCTCCAAGTCGCGCGAGGTGGCATCACGCAACAAGTCAAGTGAAAGCAGCACGTGTGGCGGCTCGCAGATGCTTGGCTTTGTGTCGGAGCCGGCGCTCGTAGGGGCCCCGCGCCGCATCGCGTCGACGGTGCAGAACCGTCTCGAGTTGCTGCAGGGACAGGAGACGCTTGAGGTGGCACCCATTGAATTCGTCAAGACGTTCCGCTTCCCATCGCTGCCGCTGAGCTCGACGATGATAGCGCTTGCGCTGACAAAGTTAGGCGTCCTCACGACGTTTGAGGACGTCATCATGACGCTGCCGTTCGAGATCTCCGCCTTGATGTTGCGTTACTTCACCCTGGAGGCGATGGCGATCTGCATGGCAAAGTATATCAAGCTCGTTGACCTCACAATGGATGTACGAACGTGCCACACCGACAAGTGCGGCAGCGGCGACGAGCCACGGCTGCCGCTGGAGGGCTTCAAGTCTCTCGTCAGTGAGGGCGTGGCAGACAACAACAAGGCACTCATCGTGCTCTTCAACAACGAGCGCATCGATGTCTTCGGCGATCTACACCCGTTCGGCTCCACCGGACTCATCGTTGGCTACAGTGCCAAGACGGAGAGTGTCACGGTGATGGACAGCAACCCTAACAGCTACTTCCGCACGTGGCCGGTCCCGCTCACCGCACTCTACGAGGCTCTGCAGGACAAGGACACGAAGCATCGCCGCTGCGGATGTCTTGTGCTGACACGCCGCAATGGACCATGCGAGTCATTGTTTCCGCCGGAGTACTCGCGCGAATGCCGCCTGCACATCCTACCGGTGCAAAACGTCTTCCATGTGAGTCCGTCGCCGCACTTCCAGGCGCTCTCCTTCGCCTTTGCGCAGCTCGGCTTCGTCTACTCACCGGAGGAGATCTTCTACGAGGCGTACCTCAAGACAATGAACGACCAGCGGCGGCGCGGCAGCCAGGCGTTCGCGTGGCGTGACGTGGACGTGTCGCTCTCTGTGATCAACAAGCAGATCGACGCCCGCTTCCTGGCGCAGGTGTGCCGAATGTTCCTTGAGTCCCGCAACCCGCAAAAGACGGGCAAAGCAAACCTGCTGAGGCGTACAGGCGGCGACGGCGGCAGTGGCAACACCACCGGCGAGGAGGCGAGCACGATCCAGGTGGAGCTGCTCGACGACGTGGATGTGGAGGACCTCGACAGAGTTCTAAAAGAGGCGACACAAGTCGAAGGCAACAACTCGGTGCTGCTGCTCAACTACGACACTGCCAAGGCGCATGACGTGGAGCACTGGGGCCGCAGTGTCGCGATGGTGAAGTCGTACAACCCCGACACAGGGCTGGTGGAGATGTGGGAGGGTGAGTACGCCGTCTTCGGCTTTCTCTGGACGGTCGACCTCGCGAAGCTCGTCGAGATCGGCGACCTGCAAAATGAGGGCCGCAGCGCCTACGGTTTTGTGAAACTCGAGCGCGTGCGTGAGCGCACGACGAAGAAGAAGTTGGCGCTCATGCGGCCGCCTGACGTCGACACCGACGACGACGACGCGGCGCCACAAGGCGGACCGACCCTGCGGCGCAACCGCGAGATGGTGACGAAGTTTCTCCCCGAGGNCAGCGGCGACGCCGCCCAGTAGTCTGCGCGGCTGGGTGGTGGGGAGAGTGGAGTAGAGAGTGTAGAGGAGCGGAGAGGAGAGGAGGTGGCTCGTGCCGATAAGTGCGGGGGGCCGTTGCCGGGGCGCAGGTGGACACGAGCGAAGGGATCCAATCGGAGCCGCGGGCAGACGGCGACAATGGTGTAGCAGCCCGGGGAACAACAACAACAACAACAACGACAGGAAAGGAGAGTATGGGAGGGAGGGAAAGGGGATGCACAACTTTTGTGTGCCCGTGCATGTATAATGTATGTAGATCTCTCTCCCTCTCTTCTTCGCTCCCTCTCCCTCGATATGTCTCTCCTCTTTTCTTGTTTTGTTTTTTCTTCTTGTTTTGTTTTGTTTTGCCTTCATTCTGTGTGCATGTGTGTGCGTGCGCTGGGGCTGCGGTGCTCCGTATGTAGCGACCATGACTGTCCGTAAAGCGACATGTGAATAAAATGTGAGGGCAAACCGCACATGCACACAATTCCTTTCTACGATGCTGTGCCACCCCGCAGCGTCATTCTGCCGTAGTGTTTTTTTTTCCCCTCCCCGTTTTTTTGCTGTTCGTGTACGTGCGTGCTGCGTGTTTTCGTCGAGGGGGAGTAGAGGGGGGGGGGAAAGGGGGATGTGTGATACAAGGAGAGTGTGGTGCGGAGAGAGAGGGGGAAGGAATGGGGGTAAGTGAGAGAGAGAGGGAGGTGCTGGGCTGCGCGCGCCGCCTTGCCGCCTCGCTGCTGCCGCGTGCCACACGCCTTGCCGCCTCGCCAGTGGAGCGAAGCTAAGTCTGTGTCGGGGGGAGGGCGAGGGGAGACCGCCGATAAGAAGCGAGCACACAAATGAACAGCGGCATCAGAAGCGATAGAGGAGAAGAGGACCGCACGCGTGAGGAGTGATGAGTGCGTGGTGGTGGGGGGTGGGAGAGTTGTTCGGGTGAAGGCATATAGGCACATCTGATACCGTGCAACAGGAATTCATCTTTCCTTTCACTTTTCCCTTTCGTTTCCCGCTGACAAGGCGTCCGCACTGCTGTGTATCCTCTTCCTTTTCCCCTCTCTTTTGTTCTTGCTGCTGCTGCTGCTGCTGCTGCGGTTTGCTTGCGCGACTGCCTGGCTGCGTCGCAGAGAAGAGGGGGCGCCAGAGAGAGTGGGAGACATGCAGGAGGAGCTGTCCGTCGTGCAGCAGCTGCAGCGGATCTACAGCAAGAACGAGTTGTACCGCCAGCTCGAGCACCTGCTCGGGCGGCCGGAGAGCGAGCAGCAGTCGGAGGAATTCTACGACGACGTGGAGGAGCTCGTCGCGCTGTTCCTCCGCGAGAGCGGTAAGACCGGCGACGAGGCGCAGCTGCTCGCCACATTTAGCGAGGCAATCAACG